AGACCGGTGAGTGGTGCAGGTGTCGCGCATTCGCAATTACTCCACCGGCCTCGCTCCGTTCCCACGGCTCTCGGCCCCGCCCCTCTCGTCACAGCTAGTTTTTAACCGCACACTCAAACGCTCACGAAGCGTGTTTAAGGAACTGGAAGCAAGCAGAATACGGCTGTTTCTAAAGCACGCAGCGCCATCTGCTGTTACAAACTAAGCTCAGAATCGATTCCAGAGACAATCACGATGCATTCAGAAAATCTCAGAATCGATGCATAATCATTTCTCGATTCCTGTTGAATCCTATTTTTAAAACCATTGCGATATATATATATATATATATATATTTTTTTTTTTTTTTTTGCATTTTACATTTTCTTGTTGTTTATTATAATTAAGCACATTTTATCCCCTAATTCCCATTAATTTAATTTAAATAATGTAAAAAATATTACAGTGTTTTTATTATTTAAATTGTATAATAAAAAATAAACATTATGGTAATATTTGGTGCCTTTAATTTATGCTGATGTAGATAAACATATGTAGTGTTTATAATTAATAAATTAATTAAAGGAATAAAGGAATTAAAATAACTTTACAGAGATTTCTATTATAAAATAAAAATATTTTACATGCAGAAAAAGAGAAAGTTTTTTTTGCATTTTGTCATTAATAATTATAATTAATTACAAAAACATATATTACAATATAATATTATCAAAATTATTTATTATTTATTATTAAAATAAACATTATGGTAATATTTGATACATTTATTTTATGCTTATGTAGATAAGCATTTGTAGCATTTATAAGGTTTTACAGTAATGAAAATCTGAAGAGAATAAAATTATAAAATTATATTTTACATTTAAAACTCTTGCTATATATATATATATATATTATTTGCATTTTACATTTTCTTGTTATTAATTATAATTAAAGCACATTTTATCCCCAGATAATCCATAAATTTATTGCAAAAATATAATAGAACTCACAATTTCCATACAAAGCCTATTTTAGATCTCTGTCGAATCAGCTAAATGCAGCCAGATGCTGGGTATTTTTGTTCTTGTCTTTTGTTTTTCCTTGAAATCCTCCTGAAAGTGGAACCCAATTGTCTCGAGATATTGAACTCTAATTGGCTGAGCCCGAGTGTGATTTACTAAACCTCCACGGCACATTAACGAGTTCATCAGCACAGGTACGGTGGCATCTTTTTACCAGCAGACGGCGAGCAGAGCGGCCAAAGAAAACACGCGGCCCATGTGGAGCCCATAAAGCCGGTGACCCGCAGAGGGTTTACAGCGGACCTCTGCCTCTGATGACCGTGTTTTCTTCTTCTCTGCGCTCTCTCAGAGTCATTGACACCGTTTACAGCCTCTCCAGGACAGCAGCGCTCAATCTGACTCTATTTGTGCTCAATTCACTCTCAAACAGAGATGATGAATCGCTTCCAACTGGACTCCGTTTGCACAGATCATGCTGTGTTATCTTGTGCTTGTTCTGCATTAGCACAGCTTATGTGCTTGAACACGGCTGCTGGGTCACATTACACACCAGAACATGAAGAACGAAACCAAGAAAATTGAGACTTTTTAAAATACTTTATGCTTTTGTTGTTTTAATGACAGAGAAGCACGTTCTCACCGTTGCTGGAATGCAAAAACACTGATATATTATTTAAATTGTATTTATGCATCATGGTAGTGTTTGTAGTGCAGCTTTTAATTTATTTAAATAAAAGGTAATTGCATTAAAGTGATGAGAATGAAGGAAAAGTAAAATGTCGGATGAACTATGACATTTTTAAGCATTATTTTGGACATGATCTTGATAGGTTTAATGAGATTCTCCCAGTTGATTTCCGTCTTTGATTATTGATGCTCATGACCAGGTTTGGACCTACAGAAAGTGCCTTCCCGGAAGAAAAAATTACTGTCTTTTTAAGACCATTAATATATTTGAAATTATTTTTATGAAAATTAAGCACATTGTCAAAATTAAATAATTTTTTAATGAATATTTTAAATTATTGTAGGAATATATTATCACACCGTATATATATATATATATATCACACCAAAGTAATACAATAAAATATTATTTAAGTATTAACCAGTCTGTCTATTTGAAGAAAATACAGCCTTATTATTACCATTAATATTTTCTATTAAGCAAAATAAAATTTAGATTTATTCTTAATTTGGGGTGAAATTATATATATAAACCAACTTTATATTTAATTATAATTTAAATATTTGTATTAATTATTTATATATAAAATATTTATACTTAAAAATATATACTTGTATCGATTAATTTTGTGTTGGTGCAGTCTATGATTTTATGTAGTTAAAATGAAGGCATTAATACATTATAGTATAAAGTAAAATAAAAAAGTATGCTTTTAAATATTTAATAATAATTGCTATACTACTTTTACAATAAATGCTGTTTTTTTAAATTGTTTTAATAAAAAAATAATATTTAAGTTGGCTATTAAATTATTTAAAAAAACATCTATCTGACCAATCCCTGTAATAACAAAACTGTGATGTGGTCTCTTTTATATCGATCATATATCATATATAATATCGTGTGTGTGTCATTGCAGTCATCAGATCAGGTCTCTGCAGTACAGCGTCACCGGTGACGTCATTCTGGTGGTGGCGGGAAACTCGCAGGCCAAAGTCCTGGACCGCGACGGATTCCAGGTCCTCGAATGCATCAAAGGAGATCAGTATATTGTGGACATGGCCAATACCAAGGTAACTTTAAAGACACATTTGCATGTAGAAATCTTAAAGTAGGGCTGGGCGATTTGGCAAAAAATTTAAATCTCGATTTTTCCAGAGTGTTTGACCGATTCTTGATTTTTTTTACGATTTTTAACTAGTCAACTTGTAACTACAACATGATTCAAGTAACTTTTAACAGTGTGAACGTAGCCTGTGTGGAGGAAGCCAGTGTTGCGCCAACAGATTTTTTTGCAGATGTTAAACAGTTTTTTGTAGCTTAGAGAAATTCAACAGAGCATCGTCGCTCAGTAATAATATAGAGGGGTTCACTGGTATAGGATATTCAATCATTATTGATAAGATAATACACACCTCATTCCCACATCATATGAAAAAAGGATCCGAGTTGTTGGTCAGGACATTTATCACAGAAGGGACTAAAGGAGGAGTCGATACGATGTCTTTTGAGAGGGGTCCAATAAGGTCTGTGACAAAAATTAATGAATCATTTGTTAATAAACGTTATATAAACTAGTTTGTGATTGTAGCCTACTATTGTTGTTGTGCTTTTCAATTAAGAATAGCAATGAATCCACCTTTCAAGCATGTGTTTTAGTCTTAAAAAGTGATAGGTGTATCGATGTAAACACAACAGACAATTCTCTTTTTTTGTGAAACGTGATGCCAAGATTGCGAAAACGAAAGCGTCCGAAGCCCTGTTTATATAACGCAGCAAAAGAGGAACTCCCGTTCACAAAATTCAAATCACAAATAATGCTGATGGGGAAAAAAACGGGTTGAATGTTAACCACTTTTGTTACCACATACCTATAAACTATGATAACAGAAAAACTATTCATCAGCATGCATTGATTAATACTAAAAATGTATATTATAAGAAAAGGTTTTCTCAAGTAGAACAGTGATTTTTAGCTAAAACTGTGGTCCGTGGTGATTCGTAGAATGCAAGTCAATGGCTGCCGGCACTTTTAGAGTCAAAAAAGCATATGATTAAACACAAAATTAATCCCCGTGGCTCCTGACAATATATTGAGGTCTTATGAAGCGAAGTGAACGGTCTGTGCAAGAAACTGAACGTTATTTATTACATTATTACCTGTAATCCAGAGCCTGACACACTGGGAAACCTGATTCTTTTCCTTCAGACAGTTCACTTCAATCAACTGGTTCAAATAAACGATTCACCAGTTTGTTCACATAATTACTCGATGACGTTACGTATATGCAATTATATTATTAAAGCACTCGATGTGAAATGTGGCTATTTTACATCTCTAGAGCGTACAAAGTGAATAAACAAGTCTTCTTTAGCTCACATTTTTACATAAACCATGAGAAGCCATAAAAACGTTCACTTCTCTGCTTCATTCAAGCTCTCAGTTCACACATGCGCATATCAATGGCTTATTGGTTCGAGTTGAACTGTTTCCTCAGTTCAGTGACTGCTGGAGGAACTGGAGAACTGAATGATTCATTCGTCACAGGATCAGATACGCCGCTATTTTGGCTCATTTCCAGTCGGAGTGACTGTCAGGCGTCTGAAAGCGAGTAACTAGTAGATCTGTGCTGCTGGAGAAGTGAACTGATTCAGACGCTTCAGTCCGATTTGGTGAACTGGTTCAAATAGTTCACCAAAAAGAACCGGTTCAAAAGAATGATTCGTTTGTGAACCGGACATCACTTCAGACAGTTTGTCTGAGGCTCTGGATTACAGGTAATAACGCTGTAAATAACGTTCAGTTTCTTGCACAGACCGTTCACTTCGCTTCATAAGACCTCAATATATTGTCAGGAGCCACGGGGGTTAATTTAGTGTTGTCTGTATATGCTTTTTTGACTCTTAAAGTGGCAGTAGCCATTAACTCACATTTTACCAGCGAAAAGGGCTCTTTTTGAGTGAACTATCGCTGTTGGAGCCATTTCTTTTTCTATTTTCATATTTTGGACTGATTTAATCATTTGAATAGAATTAAGTATGGTTGATGATGATTATTTGTGTATTCTGTTTATCTGAGTTTTTGCTTTGAATGTTATGAATTTATGAGTGGAGACTCTTATTATATCATTGCAGTTCTATTCTTTAAAAAAAAACTTTTAGCCCCTTTTAGACTTGCACTCTATTCATTTAATAACGGCTTTTCTTCTCTAATCTTTTTGTTTTCTATCTTCTTGTTTTCTTTTTATTTATCATACAATTAACAAAAAGCAAAAAAGGCCTCTAACACTAGCTTGCTCTATTCTATCTGTTTTCTTTTTATTTATTATATATTTAAAAAAAAAACTTGCTACATGTACTACGTTAAGCTAACTGAGACTTATTATAGCACATTGCTCTTTTGTTGATTTTGAATGCTTCCATTGTCCTGATTGGATAAAAGCGTCTGCTGAATGAATAAATGACTAAATGTACATTTGCTGCTATAATCCCTTTAATTCTAAGGGTCAGAAATTGACAAACCAGTATGCATCTTATAGATGCTTTTTGGCTGATTTGCTCTCAGTATCTGCTCTGCTTGTTCACATGCTTGGGAGTGTTTGTCAGTTCTCATGGTCTGTGTTTGCTGCATCTGGACGCTGTTTGTTGACTGAGGCGTAATGAGGTGTACATGAACTACATCAGAGAGGCCAGCGCACACTAAATATTGCACCTGGTCCTTTGGCCCGTCCGCAGACACACTGTCCCTCTGTAATCAGTGTGTGAAGCGCGGCTCGCGTCACTAATGTAGTGTGTCGGCACGCCACAGTCGCTGCAGGACAAACTGTAATTAGGTTTGGGTTCGTTATGTACCATAGCGAGTGCATTTCAGCATCAGACATAAATATTGTTTTCTTCAATCATTGTCAATGCCTTGTTTTGCTGTTGAAAGATGCCAACTGGACATCCATAACAGAAATACTTGAATTCAGTCTTTTATTTTCATAGTTATTACTTCCACATGCGAGCACACTTGGCGTACACTACAGACACACTTGTATACTATTGTAGTATTTATTAATATTACTTCTTTTTTTTTTTTCTTTTTTTTTTTAGTAATTTTTTTGTGTTTTTTATGTTTTTATGGGGGGGTGCATATAACTTACTGCTCACCAAGGCTGCTTTTATTTAATCAAAAATACATAAAAAATTGTAAAATATTATTGCAATTTAAAATAATGGTTTTCTATGTTAATCTGTTGTCAAATGTAATTTATTTCTGTGATTTTCAGCATCATTACTCCAGTATTCAGTGTCACATGATCTTCAGAAATCAGTATAATATGCTGATCTGCTGCTCAAGAAACATTTCTGATTATTATCAATATTGAAAACAGTCGTGCCGCACAATATTTTTGTTGAAACTGAGATACATTGTGGTAAGTAATATTTAGTAATTGATATTTCTACTCATTAAGAACACATTAAAGACCTTTATAATGTGACAGAAGAATTCTATTTCAAACAAACCCTGTTCTCTTGAACTTTTATTCATCTGTGAATCCTGAAAAATAAAATGTATCACAGCTTCCACAGAAATTTGAAGCAGCACAACTGCTTTCGACATTGATGATGATAATAATAATAACAGCCATTATTAATAATTGAGCGCTAATGATAATTCACCTTTGCATGACAGGAATAAATTATAGTTCAAAATATATTCAATAGAAAACGGTTTTTAAATCGTAATAATATTTCTTTTAAACTTCTAATGTACTTTTGATCAAATAAATGCAGCCTTGATGAGAAGAAACGACTCTTTCAAAAAAAAACAAAAAAAAAACACAACTAATAAAAAAAATAATATAATAAATTAAGCTAAAAAATAACTCATTTTAGTACGTCAACTTTAATACTTATTTATATTTTATTTCATTTAGCACAAACAATATTTAATAGTTTTTGTAGGTATTATTAGCGGTCAGTCATATCGCGTCTGTGGTCAGTAGCTCCAAACAAATCATCTTTTGTTTCCCGTTTAGTCACTGACGGACAGAAAGCAGTTGTGATGCGTGATCCGTCCTCAAACTATGTGAGGAAGGAGCCAGATATCTGCTCTGAATTAGTGTTTCGTATCCCATGAGGCCATGAGGCCAGTGTGTGTCCTTGGACGTCGTGAAGGTCAAGTGAACAAATGCTGCAGAACATATTTGTGATGGCACGCTTTAATAATGCAGCATGTGCTCATCACTACAGACAGCTTTATTTATTCTCTCAGAATGACTTTATAAAAGCCTTCTGATGCATTTCCTGTTCTTCGATTGGACTCGTGTCTACATTAACACTTTAAAGTCAACATTGGAGACATGTTTTCTTCTGTAGAGTGTGAATGTGAAACAGTATTCATTCATTAGGAAGTAAACATTGTTTTATTCATGTTAGGCTGATATTTATTAGTAGTGGTGTTTAGTAAGAAAGATCTACATTATTCTAAAGTACCATTAATCATCCATAGTAAGACCAAAAAACACATGTTTTGACACATTGACGTTGATTCAAATTATTTATTGTAACTTTATTTAGATATTATTTTTATGTATGTATGTATTAATATGATTCAAAGTATTCATTGGAATTGTGCAAATGTTATCTTTATTTATTAACATGATTCAAATTTGATTCGTTTGTGAACCGGACATCACTTCAGACAGTTTGTCTGAGGCTCTGGATTACAGGTAATAACGCTGTAAATAACGTTCAGTTTCTTGCACAGACCGTTCACTTCGCTTCATAAGACCTCAATATATTGTCAGGAGCCACGGGGGTTAATTTAGTGTTGTCTGTATATGCTTTTTTGACTCTTAAAGTGGCAGTAGCCATTAACTCACATTTTACCAGCGAAAAGGGCTCTTTTTGAGTGAACTATCGCTGTTGGAGCCATTTCTTTTTCTATTTTCATATTTTGGACTGATTTAATCATTTGAATAGAATTAAGTATGGTTGATGATGATTATTTGTGTATTCTGTTTATCTGAGTTTTTGCTTTGAATGTTATGAATTTATGAGTGGAGACTCTTATTATATCATTGCAGTTCTATTCTTTAAAAAAAAACTTTTAGCCCCTTTTAGACTTGCACTCTATTCATTTAATAACGGCTTTTCTTCTCTAATCTTTTTGTTTTCTATCTTCTTGTTTTCTTTTTATTTATCATACAATTAACAAAAAGCAAAAAAGGCCTCTAACACTAGCTTGCTCTATTCTATCTGTTTTCTTTTTATTTATTATATATTTAAAAAAAAAACTTGCTACATGTACTACGTTAAGCTAACTGAGACTTATTATAGCACATTGCTCTTTTGTTGATTTTGAATGCTTCCATTGTCCTGATTGGATAAAAGCGTCTGCTGAATGAATAAATGACTAAATGTACATTTGCTGCTATAATCCCTTTAATTCTAAGGGTCAGAAATTGACAAACCAGTATGCATCTTATAGATGCTTTTTGGCTGATTTGCTCTCAGTATCTGCTCTGCTTGTTCACATGCTTGGGAGTGTTTGTCAGTTCTCATGGTCTGTGTTTGCTGCATCTGGACGCTGTTTGTTGACTGAGGCGTAATGAGGTGTACATGAACTACATCAGAGAGGCCAGCGCACACTAAATATTGCACCTGGTCCTTTGGCCCGTCCGCAGACACACTGTCCCTCTGTAATCAGTGTGTGAAGCGCGGCTCGCGTCACTAATGTAGTGTGTCGGCACGCCACAGTCGCTGCAGGACAAACTGTAATTAGGTTTGGGTTCGTTATGTACCATAGCGAGTGCATTTCAGCATCAGACATAAATATTGTTTTCTTCAATCATTGTCAATGCCTTGTTTTGCTGTTGAAAGATGCCAACTGGACATCCATAACAGAAATACTTGAATTCAGTCTTTTATTTTCATAGTTATTACTTCCACATGCGAGCACACTTGGCGTACACTACAGACACACTTGTATACTATTGTAGTATTTATTAATATTACTTCTTTTTTTTTTTTCTTTTTTTTTTTAGTAATTTTTTTGTGTTTTTTATGTTTTTATGGGGGGGTGCATATAACTTACTGCTCACCAAGGCTGCTTTTATTTAATCAAAAATACATAAAAAATTGTAAAATATTATTGCAATTTAAAATAATGGTTTTCTATGTTAATCTGTTGTCAAATGTAATTTATTTCTGTGATTTTCAGCATCATTACTCCAGTATTCAGTGTCACATGATCTTCAGAAATCAGTATAATATGCTGATCTGCTGCTCGAGAAACGTTTCTGATTATCATCAATATTGAAAACAGTCGTGCCGCACAATATTTTTGTTGAAACTGAGATACATTGTGGTAAGTAATATTTAGTAATTGATATTTCTACTCATTAAGAACACATTAAAGACCTTTATAATGTGACAGAAGAATTCTATTTCAAACAAACCCTGTTCTCTTGAACTTTTATTCATCTGTGAATCCTGAAAAATAAAATGTATCACAGCTTCCACAGAAATTTGAAGCAGCACAACTGCTTTCGACATTGATGATGATAATAATAATAACAGCCATTATTAATAATTGAGCGCTAATGATAATTCACCTTTGCATGACAGGAATAAATTATAGTTCAAAATATATTCAATAGAAAACGGTTTTTAAATCGTAATAATATTTCTTTTAAACTTCTAATGTACTTTTGATCAAATAAATGCAGCCTTGATGAGAAGAAACGACTCTTTCAAAAAAAAACAAAAAAAAAACACAACTAATAAAAAAAATAATATAATAAATTAAGCTAAAAAATAACTCATTTTAGTACGTCAACTTTAATACTTATTTATATTTTATTTCATTTAGCACAAACAATATTTAATAGTTTTTGTAGGTATTATTAGCGGTCAGTCATATCGCGTCTGTGGTCAGTAGCTCCAAACAAATCATCTTTTGTTTCCCGTTTAGTCACTGACGGACAGAAAGCAGTTGTGATGCGTGATCCGTCCTCAAACTATGTGAGGAAGGAGCCAGATATCTGCTCTGAATTAGTGTTTCGTATCCCATGAGGCCATGAGGCCAGTGTGTGTCCTTGGACGTCGTGAAGGTCAAGTGAACAAATGCTGCAGAACATATTTGTGATGGCACGCTTTAATAATGCAGCATGTGCTCATCACTACAGACAGCTTTATTTATTCTCTCAGAATGACTTTATAAAAGCCTTCTGATGCATTTCCTGTTCTTCGATTGGACTCGTGTCTACATTAACACTTTAAAGTCAACATTGGAGACATGTTTTCTTCTGTAGAGTGTGAATGTGAAACAGTATTCATTCATTAGGAAGTAAACATTGTTTTATTCATGTTAGGCTGATATTTATTAGTAGTGGTGTTTAGTAAGAAAGATCTACATTATTCTAAAGTACCATTAATCATCCATAGTAAGACCAAAAAACACATGTTTTGACACATTGACGTTGATTCAAATTATTTATTGTAACTTTATTTAGATATTATTTTATGTATGTATGTATTAATATGATTCAAAGTATTCATTGGAATTGTGCAAATGTTATCTTTATTTATTAACATGATTCAAATTTATTGGAATTGTATTCAAATTTTTGTTTTTTTATTTATTTGACTCAAACGTTTGGAGTTTTTTTTTTATCCAGATTTTTTAATGCATTAATATAATTCAAATTATTAATTAGAATTTTATTCAGATATTATTTTTATTTATTTATGTATTAACGGGATTCAGTTATTTATTGGAATAGTATTAAGTGTATTCATATGATCCAAATTATTTTAATTCAGATTTTATTTCTATTAATTAATTTATTAATTTATTAATATGAACCAAACCTTTGGAATTGTATCCGGATGTATTAATATGATTCAAATTATTTATTGGAATTATATTTATATTGTATTTATTTGTTAGTGGCTGGAATTTCATTCAGATGTTATTTTTATTTATTAATGTTTTTTCAATTATTTATTGGTATTTTACTTAGTATGTATGTGTTTGTTTATTTATGATTCAAATTATTTGTTTATTAATTTATGGGTCAAAGACGTTAAGATGTCCGCATCAAAATAAATGTACACAAGTTTATAAATGTATGTGCATGGAAAGCACATTAAATGTAAGAATCGTTTTTTAAAATCACATTTAAATGTTTTTCTTTTAAATAAAGTAACATTTATGGCAGTTATCCAGTCAGTAAATAAATCTGATTCAGTGAGTCATTTGTAAGACTGGTCTTTTTGACCAGTTCAGGAAAAACTCAGTCCTTCGTTCAAACATATTTTAGGGGTTTTAGAATAGCAATTTTTGCTGTGATTTAAAAAAAAAACATATTTAAGAATTCAAAAATATTAAAAAAAAAAAATTCTTGAATTAAAACCGCAAATATTGCGCTCCAGTCAGAAAGTGAGTCTGATTCAGATTCAGGGAGTCTGTGTTTTTTTTTTTTTTTTACCAATTCAAGAATCTGTTCATAAAAATCAGTTGTTTTGATCACATTTCAGAGTTTTTCTTCAGTTAAAATAACAATTCTGGCAGTAGTTTTGTCATTAACTGATTCTGATTAAGGGATTTATTTATTTATTCAAGAATCTGTTCATAAGAGTCATTTATTCATATAACATGGTCTGATTCAGCGAGTCATTTGTCAGACCGTTTTCTTTTTTGACCAGTTCAAGAGTCCTTTCACAAGAGTCTGTCTTTTTGATCGCATTTTAAGTTTAAAAAAATTAAATTAAATTGCATTTATGGCAGAAATTTTGTCAATAGATGCTGATTCAGACTCACAGCCACTTTCCACTTTTTTCTTTGTTCATAAGAATCAGTCATGCTGTATGTTTTTTCTCATTTGCAATAATGTAATGTATTTTGTCGCGCTGCTGCAATAAATGCCGATACGTTCAGCCAAATGCATTTGCAATGTTTTTCTTTTTGCGATGTTTGTGTTCACAGCCTCCAAACTACAGGCCTGTGAAATTTTCTATGCGTGTAAACCTGCATCAAATCATGCCCTCGTTGTGTTCCCCTATAAAAGCACGCTGGTTTTACTGTGCGTCTGAACCGTGGCGTTACAGATATGGCTGTGTTTTATTCAGTGCTAATATAGATTCTGGAAGTCGTCGCTTGGCAAGCAGCGGCGCATGTCTCAGGCGCGTTCAGAGGAGGAGGTTTAGCTTGAGGAGCAGCTGCAGATGTGAGCCATCCCCGGCGGGGCATTATATCAGTGCTCAACGGGGGCCACATGTGTCCTGTGATTGTGTTGGGGTTAACAGGGGCCTTGCAGGGGTCGAGATGGACTCGGCGCGGCGCTTTGGTGTGATTACCGTCCTGCTCTCTGTAGATTACACTGACAGACTGACACCATCGGTTCTTCTGGGTTCATAGGAAGGATGAACCCGAGCGGCAACCTCCCGCTCTCTCTCGTGAAGCCAACATGGAAGTGACTTAAACTGTAATTCATCGACTAGCCGCTAGAGGCTGGCTGCAAAAGAGATTCAGTCCCATAGACTCCCCATGTTAAAACGCCCAACTTTACAGCAGAAATAAATGTGTTTACAGCCTGGTTCAAAAAGTGCTTTTGGTCTATATAGTTAATTTTGCCCTTCATGACAACTGTGAGGGCGGTGATTTTTTTTATAACTCATCCGTTTAAATTATATTAAGCCTTAAAGTTCTGCATAATTAAGGGCGTGGCCACTTGAGTGACAGGTGGATTGCCGCTCCTGACACTGCTGTCGCGCTAGGTGGGCGTGGCTTCAGCAACCAGCTCCCGCCTCTTTGCCCATTTTCGATTATTCGGGAGTGACGCGCTGCCAAGATGGTGTTTTTGGATGTTTTATTCAATTCAAGTTTATTTGTATAGCGCTTTTCACGATGCAAAAGATGTGTCTTTAATCTAGATTTAAACAGAGAGAGTGTGTCTGAACACCCAACGTTATCAGGAAGGCTATTCATGACAAGGCTTGTGAATACTGGTATTCTACCACCCCCTATACATCTTGAGAACAGATTTGAAGCATTAATGAATGTGGGTGAGGAATCCCCAAATGTGATTAAACATGGATCGGATCAGCCAGCAGCTAACATCTCTACTAACAGACACTCAAGGTCGAGCAGACAGCGGCTTTCAGCTCAGAGCGCAGCCGAGCCCAGGACTCTGATAGTGGGCGACTCCATTATCAGAAACATCAGTAGCAGAAATTCAGCAACTTTCTGCTTTCCTCAAGCAACAGTTTCTGATTTGAACAAGGAACTTGGGAAAATTCTAATGAAGCACAAGACTGCAAATCGAATCATCATCCATGTGGGAAAGAATGATATTCGGAAAGAGCAGTCAGAACTCCTAATTTTTCTTTTATGCCAAAAATCATTAGGATATTAAGTAAAGATCATGTTCCATGAAGATATTTTTTACATTTCCTGCCATAAATATATCTAAACTTAATTTTTGGTTAGTAATATGCATTGTTATTTTTAATTTTTTAATTTTAATTTTTTTTTTTTGCATGTTCACACTGATGTTAAAATGACATTTTCTGATTTGTGACATTACTTTTTATGTACTGCTAAAACACTGCTGGCCACTTTCAGAAGTTGTAGTGATTCTTTCTTTTCCAAGAAATATAATTGAAATTGCAATATCGTATCGCATATCAAATATCGCATTTTTTAACAAGGCCCTAATATAGAGCATATGAAGAAGAGTCGCAGTAGATATTTTGCATCTTTGGCAGAGTTGTGACCCGTTTTCTGATGTGAAATGTGGTAATGTGTGTGAACGTGAGGATGGATTGGCGTCAGGGTCACGTCTGAATGGGTCGCCCCTCACAGAGTGAGTGTTGCGTGTCGTTCAGTGCACTCTCCACTGAAGCACAGCGCACTGACGATTAAGACCATTCCCGTTTAATTGCTCCGAGCCTTTAAAAGCCCATTAATGGAAGCAGCGTTTATTGTACACACCGCTCTCGGCCCCTGAGAAACACGAGCAGCTCTTCATAATCAGTGAGCTGTTAAACACACGGGACGCTTTCATTCTGTCCTTTATTTCCATCCATCTGGGGAAGTTTTCCAGTGTACTATCTCGCAGTGGGATCCGTCTGATTGTGAAGGGGCCCCATCAGGAGCGTTAGGGGCCGCTTGCGTTCAGTCTGAGCTGTTTTTAAGTGGTTAGTCTGTGTAAATGTGTGCTAGGCATATTTGCTGTGTGTCTGTTTAATTCAGCTTCTAGTGTAGTTTTAATAAGTACTTTTACTATTTTTATTAATATGTTCAGTTATATTTAAGATGTTTAACAAATTAAAAAAAAATGTTTTTTATCATTTATTTATCAGTGTACTTCGTATTTATAAATGTTTTTATATTATCTATACATTTTATTTATTAGTGTTGTATGTATTCTGAAACGTATTTATTTTATTAGTTTATTTTTCATATTTTTTTATATTTTAAGTAACAATTTATAAATATTTATTCATTTTATTTTTTATTTATATCTATTTTATTTTTTATTGTATACAGTATAACTAAATATATATATATATATAAACAGGAGGTATAATTCTATATAATTTTTATTTTGTATATTATTAATTTTATTGTATTTATTTAGGATTATTTAAATAAAATTAAAACTATTTTAAACATGTCTGTGTGTGTATGTCAGTGTCACAATATATTATGAATAATGTTATAAAATATAATATTTTTTATATATTTTAAAAGACAAGACACATGAAAACAAATTTTAATTCCTTAGCGGCACTAAACAATATTATGGTAAAATGTATTTATTTGAAGTTTTTATATTTATTTATAATTTATTTAAATGTTATCAAATAAAATATATGTATAATATTATTATTATTATATTTTTAAATATTTTAATAACTTTATATTATTATTATTATTTTATTTATTTTGCATGCTATAGCCACATTTCTAAAAAATTATAATAGCAAGACATATGGAAACAAAAAAAAATTAATTGGCAAGGGGACTAGTTTATCCTGACCCATTCCTGTCTGGTATTGTATGAATTCAGCAAGCCTATATTTGTACAATGAGCTGCACAATTCATTGTAAGCACATCATTAATTTATGTGCAGTGTCCGTTCATAAATATATGATGTGTTTTCGGGGAAGCGGCTTCATAAATCGCAGTCAGTGCTAATTGCAGACGACAGTGTTAATGCTTGAGACTCGCTGCGCATCACGGGAACGGCTGTTTATCTCTCGAGTTCAGATGCTTTTGTAACGAGAGCCGTGTGTTTCCATGACGACCTGATTGCTCACCTGCTCCTCCTCCATGAGATCAGGTGCTGCCATCTGTGCCACTTATTTGCCATTTATTTCCGATTTAATATTTCAGTTATTAGATATAATTGTATAAATACATTAGGGCTGTCAGTCGATTTCACAGGATGTGTTGAATAATTAATCGAATTAATCGCTAATTACTCGAAATAAAGAATGCATAAGAAGTGCATTCCAAGGCACTCGAATCCTATTCAAAAAGTTTTAAAAAGCCTTTATTTCATCATGGCTATAAGTTTTAAGAACAGGTGACAAGTGCACACCTACTCGTTGCGGCTATTTTGCCTTCGTCAGGGTGTGAGTTACAAACACAATCTGAGTTCATTTTGAGCAGCAATTAATTAGTCAAAAGTTTATCCTGACCCATTCCTGTCTGGTATTGTATGAATTCAGCAAGCCTATATTTGTACAATGAGCTGCACAATTCATTGTAAGCACATCATTAATTTATGTGCAGTGTCCGTTCATAAATATATGATGTGTTTTCGGGGAAGCGGCTTCATAAATCGCAGTCAGTGCTAATTGCAGACGACAGTGTTAATGCTTGAGACTCGCTGCGCATCACGGGAACGGCTGTTTATCTCTCGAGTTCAGATGCTTTTGTAACGAGAGCCGTGTGTTTCCATGACGACCTGATTGCTCACCTGCTCCTCCTCCATGAGATCAGGTGCTGCCATCTGTGCCACTTATTTGCCATTTATTTCCGATTTAATATTTCAGTTATTAGATATAATTGTATAAATACATTAGGGCTGTCAGTCGATTTCACAGGATGTGTTGAATAATTAATCGAATTAATCGCTAATTACTCGAAATAAAGAATGCATAAGAAGTGCATTCCAAGGCACTCGAATCCTATTCAAAAAGTTTTAAAAAGCCTTTATTTCATCATGGCTATAAGTTTTAAGAACAGGTGACAAGTGCACACCTACTCGTTGCGGCTATTTTGCCTTCGTCAGGGTGTGAGTTACAAACACAATCTGAGTTCATTTTGAGCAGCAATTAATTAGTCAAATAACCATCACCTGGTCGTTCTACACAGGACAAACAGTAGAGAGGATTTCGACGATTGCATATCAAATACAATATAATCATGTATAAATAAACTTAAATATGTATAAACCAGACTCCACAAATCAATGTCTGTATGTACATAGTATACATTTCTTTTAAAAAACCACACAAGATCAACAATATAATACTTCCAGATCTGAATTCTTATTACAAAAAAGGTACTAGGTCTAATTCCCCATTTAAGCCTGTAAGTTTAGTTGCTTTCAGTATATAGACTCTCTGTAAAAGCTTATTGACCCTATCACCTCTTCTTATTGATCTGGGGACATTGATCCGATTATCTTCAATCTTCTATATGTCGCTGCGCTCTTGAGATCTGCTCATCCGATTAATGAATGATTATCCCATGAATTATTCTCTTGGACTCTCATTTCTCTCAGCCGCTCTTAAACTGCATTTTCTCCACTTTTCTTCACTTTTAGTTATTATTTACTGCGGGAATGTTTCTACAGCAAAGAAACACAACACCAGACACCTTCACTGTGAAAATGATGGCAAGCATCTTGAATTATGCGTTAATGTTTTTCAAAGTTGGAAACTGATGGGATTTTTTGGCACCTTTTCGGTCTGTAAAGTAAAGTGTGTTAGTTCGGAAAGTTGAACTTGTTGACGTCTGTGCTAGTGTGTCAGCTGTTTATCTGATGGTTAGCACTATTTTTTTATTTAATATTTTATTTTATTTACAATGCATAATTGTGTTTTATTTAAAATAAAATATATATTTTTTATTTACAATATTTTAATTTTTATTATAAGAATAAAATAAATAATTAAAGAAATAATAATAAAATAAAATGTATGTTAGTTAATTTTATTAAAAAAATAATTTAAATGGTAAAGTAATAAAAGTGATTTTTTTAATTTTATTATTTCATGTTACCCTGTAAAGCCTGACATATTAAACACTAGTCAGATTTTGTTTTGATGTATGTGTTTTTGTTTGGAAAGTTGAACTTGTTGACATCTGTATTAGTGTGTCACATATCATTACATTATTGTATTTTATTTAAAGTAAAATAATAGTTTTTTTTTCTATTTACAGTATTACATTATTTGCATTTTATTTTTGTAAGATAATATATGATATTATATATATTGATAAATATTAAAATCTGTTTTGTTTTTAAATTAAACAGTTGATTTATTTACAGTATTACATTATTTGCATTTTATTTTTGTAAGATAATATATGATATTATATATATTGATAAATATTCAAATCTGTTTTGTTTTTAAATTAAACAGTTGATTTAACCTTATATATATATATATGTGTGTGTGTGTGTGTGTGTAAAGATGCAACAAGTTTTTCACATCTGGATTTGGGGATCCTCTGCCATTCCTCCTTGCAGATCCTCTCCAGTTCTGTCAGGTTGGATGGTAAACGTTGGTGGACAGCCATTTTTAGGTCTCTCCAGAGATGCTCAATTGGGTTTAAGTCAGGGCTCTGGCTGGGCCATTCAAGAACAGTCACAGAGTTGTTGTGAAGCCACTCCTTCGTTATTTTAGCTGTGTGCTAAAATTTTAGGGGGTCTGAATACTTTCCGTACCCACTGTATATATATATATATATAATATACACACACATAAATACAGTTTCTTTTTTGTTTTTAGTTTGGAAAATTTAACTTGTTGACATCTGTACTAGCGTGTCACAACAGTTTATCTGATGATTAGTACTTTATTTATTTATTTTTATTCACAATATTTACATTTATTTAAAATAAAAAAGTTTTTTATTTACAATAATTGTTTTATTTTAATTAACATGAAAAATGTTTTTCTTTACAATATTTAAATCTGTTCTTTTTTTTCTCTTTTGTTTTCTTGTTTCAAAAAATAAAATAAAATGTAAATATGTCAAATACAGTTATGTATTTGTTTAATTAAAATGTTAGTAATTTTTTGAATCCGTTCTCGTCTCGTTCTCAGGACGGTGCGGACGTGGGACTTGAACTCGGAGAAGAAGCACAAGTCTGTGTTCAAGCCTCGATCGCAGCAGGGCAAGAGAGTGATTCCCACCTGCTGCTCCTACAGCCGTGACGGCAAACTGATCGCCGCCGGCTGCCAGGACGGGACCATCCAGATCTGGGACAGGAACCTGAGCGTAAGTGCGCCGCTTCGTCTTTATCTTTACGCTGCGCTGTTATCCTGGAGGAGACACGGGAAGTGAGACGGCTAATAAAAGGCTGCTGTTCAGCGTCACGCCAGTGTGACCCAGGGGTCAGAGGTCAGAGGTCATCAGAGCGGTGCTGTGTTTTACTGCGTTTACTGTGGTTCTGCTCAGCGTGGGTGTCCCGACTGCCTCGTCTCCAGCCTGACGGGGATGAATAGGGCAGGAGGGACGCTGATTTGTTGCTGTTTGTTTGGTCAGGACGTCCCGCCGGTGTGTGGTCTGAGAATATATGAACATTCTCCAATCTCCACTTCAATATTCTATTCTCAGAATTTAAGTGTTAATTTATGAGAGAGAGAGAGAGAGAGAGAGGCTGTGTATGTAACAGTGGAGCTGTGGCTTTAATTGCTTTAGAAACAATGATGTTACCAGCTCCTTGTTGAGAAAGACAATGTAGCTCTTGAGCGATTAAGCTGTTTTATTGAAAAATTGCAGGGCAGCGCTGAGAAGTTTGTGTTGCTGAATGTCTGTGTGTGTGTGCGTGAGATTCAGTGAAGACAGTGCATTAGTTTAGAACTCTTCAAATTTTTATTTTTTAAATGTAGAAAGTGTGTTAATTTGAGCAATGATAACCTACCAGCAATGTTAAGATAATTGTATTATATTAGAATGACTACATTACAATATAAATGTATTAGAATGAGTACATTATTATTTATGGGCTTAAAAACAAGATGCAAACAATCAGAATATTGTACCTGGTGGGGGAGTGCCCAGCGTTAACATGAAACATATGCTGTTACCGATATTGTACTTGGGGCCGGATTTACCTCATATCCGTGACGTAGGCAAAACAAATTTTTTAGCCCCCCCCATCCCTATTAATATATAAGATTACCACCCCAGCAAACAAAAATATTTCGTAATCAGTGGAAACCCTTACGTTGTTTTCTATCGCAATAAGTACTTGCGTTCAGTCAGTAAAGATCAATTGAAGTTCTTCATTTGTTTGAGAACTGAGAAAGACCATTCCGTTAATAAGCTCCGGCGCCGTGGCCACATTACCACTTCGGGAGTGCATTATTTCTCTAATGATTTTAACGGTCTGGAGTCACATCCACACCTCAAGACATTGTTTAGATGATTTATTTCAAGACATCTGTCACGTTTCCGTCCTGAAATCTCGTGTGTGTTGAACTAATTTCTTATGCACCTCATAAACCTTCCTTTGCAAATTCCAAAACGTCATTTTAGAGCTAATAAAAGAGGCTTGAGCCATTGATATGCACAAATTTTTTAGTATTAGAGAGAGAGAGAGAGAGAGAGAGAGAGAGAGATTAAGTGTGTGTGTGAATACCTGCGTCTGTGCGTTTCTCTGCAGTGTTCAGCAGCAGCATCTACTAATAGCGAATCTGTAAGTTGAACTGCTTCAAGAACCTAAAACCTAGCGTTTTAGCTGTGAAACTATTTTATTGATAAATTCACGGGGCAGCGCTGACAACATGTTTCTGTCCACGTCTCTGCGTGTGTGCGCGAATGCGTGTCTGTAATGTGTGTGTGTGTGTGTGTGTGTGTGTGTCTGAGAGAGAGAACGGGAGAAAGAAAGCATGATTTCCGTACATAAAAAAAGGTGGAAAACACGGAAATAGGCTAGTTGTCATTTTTTAACCCTATTGTTTGTTATATTTATTTGCTCAATGTCTTCTGTGGTTTTGGTTCTTTTACTGTTGTAGATAGCCCATAGTATAACAAAAAATATTATATATCTCTTCATTGTGTTTGGGCCCCCCTGGACAAGCGAGCATAGGCACGTGCCTAGAATGCCTATGCGTAAATCTGGCCCTTATTGTACTGTGGTGCAGTTATGTGGAGGCCCTCCATAATGCAGAGGTCAGCTGCTGCTCTGCCAATAGTTAGAAATGTCCCTATAGTATGCAGTGTTTAATAAACAGCTGTTTTTACTAAATTCTGTTGAGGTGAAATTCAGTGCAGTCCTGTATCTTGATACGCATCGTATCGTGACTTTGCTGGTGATGCACAGCCCTATTAATCAGTAATAAATGAATCAAATGGAAGTGAGCTCATCACTGCTCTGTGTAGTTTGGCGTGTGAGGAACGTTCTCCTGTGTTCACATTCAGTGTTTGTGCTGGAGAAAGTGACTTTGTGCTGTTTTTGAGCTGGATTTGACTAATACCACAGACTGAGTGAAAACAGATCACGGCACAGGCTGCAATTATATGCACAACAATAGTCCAGTGTTAATCACAGTTTGGTCAAATTATGCTAATATTTGACATATAATACCCGATTTATTATTTTATTATTTTACAGTTCATATAATCAGCTGATAGTTAAGCAGTAAATTAAACAGGCTTATCATTTTTTAAAAAGGAATATAAATGTTTTCTATTATATTTCTATTATTAGATTATTATTTTATTATAATTTTTTGTATTATTTAATATTATTACAATACAAAATAATGATACTACTACTAATAATACTAATACTACTAGTACTTCTACTACCAGAGTTGGGTATAACACATTACTGTATTCTAATTACTTTTCCTGATAAGGCAGTAACGTAATGCGTTACATTTTAAATTGATGTAATTTGATTACAGTTAACAATGTCAATAAAATGACGTTACTTAAGTTACAAATGCAGTGTTAAGAAAAAATATGCAGTAAAATGCATTTTAAAATCATGTTTTGCGCGTCAGTATGCCCTTTAATAAATCACCGGAGAATGCGAGTTAAAATGCAGACGAGTCCTACAACATTTAGATGCAATGAAAGGTTGCATATTTCTAAATGTTGCACTCGATTTCACATATTTTAGTCTGGCATTATAGTTTGGGAAAAGTTCAACTAGTAAATGTGTACAAGTTTGTCACAATAACACTAATATAAGTAAAAATAAAGACTCATCAGAATGAGATCGGATTACTTTATCAGAGAATATTTGTTTTCGATATGACTTCATTTAAAAGCAGATACATCAAGCTAACTTTAGATATGTTTCTCATGTCTGTGTGTCAAGTATTCGTTCATTTTATTGGCGCGTTTCAGAAAGATTTTCACAGAGACTGAGACGACTGAAAGCGCACCCTGTTTATTTTCTTTATTTTACAAAAGCACAGGGTTTTGTTTTTATTATGAGTGTATGCAAATAAAAGTAGACCCTTTACGGTTTCAAATGGTGTATTACTCTTATCTGTACGATCAAAAATGACACAACATTTTAAAACCTTTTGCTGTTGTCAGGAAAACATTCAAGTGATCGTTTAAGTTTCTGTTTTGATACTTAGACCTATGTAATTTTTCAGTAAATATTAAATTACTGAAAGAACTGTGAGTTTCACTGTGCAGTGTATTTTTTAGGTTTGATAAATTGAAAAAGTAAAGTAATTAGTAATCTGATTACTTTTTAAATGCAGTAATCAGTAATGTAATCAAATTACAATTTTAAAGAAGTAATTAGTAGTGGATTACTTTTGAGTAACTTACCCAACACTGACGACGACTACTACTACTGCTACTAATAATAATAACAATAGAAAATGTTAATATAATTTTTCTGTTTTCTGTTGAAATATATTTACAGTTTAAGCACATTTAAAACATTTGTTGGTCATTACATGGCATCCAGTGTAAAATCTAGTCCTGAACAGAAGCTATTTAAGACCAGCTTTATTTTATTTCATTACATTTAATTGTATTTCCATGGTAGCTGACATGTCATTAGACCATAAACAATTTTTTTTATAAAATTTTATTTTACAGCCGTTAAAAGCACACTCATGAACTAAGTGTCTTATGAGCCACATTTTAGGTTCATTGCACTCTTGTGTGTTATTGTTTAAAGAAATGAACGAGAATCAATGAGCCAAATTGGGGGGGGAAAAGTCAACAACAAGGCAGTTTATTTGTTTATGCTTATTACATAAAGCAGTACTTTTTTTGCTGTGAAGCTTGCAAACCTTAGAATGAATTCTAACCGGAGAATAGAACTTAGTAGTAAAATGATGCCTGTAAATGTTGCATTTTTCCTTTCTTGTTTGCTAAATGTCTTGAGTAGCATTTAAAGTCACCTTCCTCTTATTAATTTCCAGCTGAGGTCATTGACATATGTGATGAGAAGTGTGTAGCCATGTCTCTTAGCAGGTGAAAAGTCGTTGTTTCAGCCGACTTCAGATTGTAGATTTTCGGCTCTTGACCCCTCAGCGGACGGGACTCATTGGCTTTGACATTGATCTGTTTATTATCAGGATCCCAGAGGAAATAAGCAGGTGAGAGAGAGAGATTTTCATAACGTCATTCACAGCTGTGCTTTACTGTATTGTATGGCGGTAATGAAAAGAGCTCTAGGAACTCTTCCGAAAGCAATTTTAATAGATTGAGTAGGTGTCGTTCAGTCACTCAGAATTGTTGTTGGTCTTTTCCCATGACATGGCCACTTTGATGGATGTTATTGCCACATTCTCCACAAACTTCATTCCCAACAACCGTGGAAAGTTTACATCAGAGTTCCTCAGCGAGTGAGTCGAGCCCCAAAAATGAGTCTCAGATCTGTTCTGAGCTAAAACAACAATGCTGATTACCTGAATACTAAAAATAAAATACAGCTATAATTATAGATCATATAACAATAGATAAAACATTTGTATTGTTTTATGTTTTATCAACTCTTGTTTTTGTATTATGTATGTAATAGACATTTATAATACAAATATTTAATAGAATATAATTATGTAAGATATATATATATATATATATATATATATATATATACAGT